AGCAAAACTAAATATAATCTGAAAAAACGCATGTTAATTTGTTTTCATGAACAAAATGTTCAACTCAATATTAAAGTCTACATGGATCTTTGGATCCTTTCAACCAGGCATGCAATTTGTGAATTAAGTTTTTTTTTATTTTTTTTTTTATTCAAATAAATATCAAACCACGGTGCTTCGTGGTAATGCTGCTAAATTAAATAACATGTATTGAATAATTATGAACTTAAATGAAACAATATCGCAACATTTCAACAAATACATTATTTGATCTGTTTTTACATTTTAATTCAGGGCGATTTAGCCTGCTACATTTAATTAGAGCGAGATTTTCACCCTTGTCATTTTCTCATTGGGAAGCGCTTACAGGCTACATGTTTGAGTACATCCTCTGTACCTCTCGTTTTCATATGGATTACATAATCAGATAACATTTATTAGCCAGAATATTTAGACATTTAAAGGCTTTAGACAGAGCCGATTTCTTATAGTGACTGAGCTGAAGTGGCTTTCGGTTCATTTTTGTGACGCGCAGTTCCCGGAGACAGAGACGACAGATAAACTGTTTTTGTCGTTAGCAAAAGTTCGAATAAAACCCGACTTTAGAAAAATGCATAGGGCCACTCGGCGTGGTCTGCCAAAACACTTAATTATAAACTTCAATATTTCATTCAAAATAATCTCAAAACGCTTTGTGAAATTTTGAAAAGCCGTGCATGCATTAAGGCCACTTGAACTAATGAACAACTGAAACGCTGGTTTTGATTTTATTGTTTGTCGTTGTTTAAACGTGCTTGTTGCATATCTCTATTTTATATTTGATATGGTCTATTGGTGAAGTAGCCTATAGCATTGATTACTGTGGAGGGAGGAGTGTGGGGATTCAAATAATTCAGCAGAAGCAGGGATGTTTAGACCAGAAGGAAATCCCCGTCCCTCCTGGCAAATCACACTTTACTTAAAACCATGTTTTTAAAAACTCTAGGTTGTAGGGAATCAAAATAATAATAATAATAGGCCTAATAAAAAAAATATATATATATACTGTATATAGGCTATATATGTAAAATTACTTTTTTTTACAGAACTGCTTTTAAAATTACGATTGGTAGCCTCGTACGATTGGTACAGATGCAACGTCGTTCTGTTCGATACTATTGTTCCTAGTGTAAAATGGAAATGCATGGTAATTTTATTTTATAAATATAACCAAAAAACTGTATGGTGTAACAGAGTTTTAGAGCTAGACAAATCTCTCTGCATTAATAAATATAAAATTTGCAGTAGACCATGTTTGATCGGGATTTGAACCCGTGTCATCTTGATGATCGACAGTGTCCAAAGGCGAGTAGTTTTTTCGTTTGTACAAGGACAGTCTAAAAAAAATTTTTAGGGTACAAAGGCTCATTTTAATGTTGTGCTTCGATGCCAAGAAATCCACAATGACACTGTAACTGTGTCCATCTCTGAAGTACTTTCGAAGAAGATCATCCTCACAAACATGGACTGATGACTCTAACCATCAACAAAGGATACAATATATAATAGAAAGGGTATTATTAAGTAACAACTTTAATTGGTAGAAACATCTGACTCAGAATTTAGTTAATAAACTTAGTGTGCTCAAATAACAGTAACTTAAATTGTATTGTGAAAAGCGCTATATAAATATATTTGACTTGACTTGACTTGACTTAAGGTTTAGACCTAAACTTAAGGTTCTAAGGCAGACTTAACGCATACATACCACGTTCAACCTCTTCAGACAAAAACTGGACATTAGAGCCACACAAGCTGCAAAAGGCTGTAATAGTTCTCAGATCGTTTCCACAGAATGGACAAAACATGCCAGCCTAGGAAGACAATGGTTGAAATGATAACATTGATAACATTTCAGCGAACTATCAGGGTGTTCATGAAACAACAGCAGAGCTAAATTGTCTAAATCGAAAGTAGTTTATTCTGCTCGTTTCATGAAACGATTCAGTTAAAATATTTTGTTAATTTAAAAAAATAAATTACACAGATTAATATGCCATCACTTACACAGATAATCTCTTGCCGTGTCCCGATCAAAGACAGTAAAAGAAAGGTCCCGATTGCCGATTCGACTCCTGAGGAAATATCTATCTATCGGCTTTTTAGTGCCGACGCTGCCCCCTAGTGGTTGGGATCATTTCCGTTGTGTTGTGGCTTGTTTCCGTTGTGTTGTGAACTTATGTTTGCTTTTTGAATTTCGTTGTGTTGTGCACTACTGGGCCACCGTACTATCCGGCCACATCCCAAAGCAGGGCTTAGAAAAATGACCACCAAAGGCAGAAAACGGCACTGACTGAAATGCCAGAAAAGATTGTATTGGAGATCGAGGCAAAAAAAAAGGCAAACATAAAAGAATTGGAGAGAAAAAAGTTACAATAAAGGGGCAAAGAAGAGCAAAAAAATGAAGAACGTAATGACTGAATCGTAATCAGACGAATTCTGTATCATTTGTCTCGAGAGTTCTTCAAGGTCGAGGGCAGTCTGGTTACAGTGCTGGAGCTGCACACCAGGATTGCACCCCTGGAGGTAATGTGTACACATGTCACAACTGTGACTCGGACTGAAACCACAGTATTATATTATTGATGATATTACAGTTTTAACAGTTGCTAAAATTAGAGTAATTCTCTGAGGCCCTGTTTACACGAGAACGCTCGCGGGTGAAAACGTAAAAATATTTTATCGAATGTGCCTTTCGTTTACACGGCAACCCCGTTTTTGGGGCATAAAAATGCAAAAAAGTGAATCCACCCTCCAGAGTGGAAATCTTAAAAACGCTCCACCGCCGCGTTCCCGTCTAAAGGGTAAAAACGCAGAAGTCTGCGAGACAGTGACGGTTGTACGCAGGCGCACGGACCTGGTGTTGTTGTGTGGCAGTGCGTCACATCGCCACCTAGCCGCCTGGAGTGCACACTACATCGTCACCATATGCACGCGGATTTCCCACCCATAACACTCGTCTAAACCGTAGAATAAAAAGTGATAACGCAACGCCACTTATGCGCTTTCTCTTCAGATCGTTTCTGTGTAAACATAGCCTGAGTAACAGAGCCAAATGCAAAAAGTGTCTCCCCTACATCCACGTGCAACAGAAGGAAGATGCTGGGGCACAGGTGCCGCTAATTAAGCCTGATAGAGTCCTAATTGGCTTGAGATCGGGTGGGTGGAGCCAGAGATTAATAGGGAAATTACCGTGCCCTAAATACACGCGACGCCCGATAAAAGGTATCTTTTCCATGTTAATCAGAGTGTTTGTCCTAACCAGCCGCGACACGCGACGATTCAATTTCAGAAATGGTTTTGATTTTTATGCGACGTGCGTTAAGTGGACTGTATGGTGTCCCATTTGTCATTTTAGAGCACAAATCAAGATTATGGGACACCATGCTTGGCCTTATGTCACGTCACTTTTAATAGTTATTAATGCACCTTTAAGAGAGAGATCCAATCAGAACCTTTTCACAAAGGTTCAAAAGCAAACCTTATTATAGTATTAGTATTATTAGTCATTATTATCAATGCATCACATTTTCGTTTTATTATAATGATGCATTTTTACACCCTTTATTAAAAGTAAAATTTGTATCTATTCTGAAGTTATATGATACTTTGCATGAAAAAAGGCAGAGAATTAAGATGAAAAAGAACAGCTGGAATGTATTTACATGATGGTGAGTAAATGATTTATAATTTGTATGTGATTATATCCCTTTAAGAAACTATTGCTTGCCCTCCTGATCCTGCTATTGTCATCTGATTATAAATATAGTTTTTCCTGTCAAAATAAGTGACATTTTATGTGAAGACTTCTGTGTACAAGGTTCTCCAACAAACAAGAAAGCGAGCATTGAAGCGTAAGATATGAAAGCGATAAATATAGCAGAATTATTGGAAACATCAAAATCATAAGATAAAAATAGTTTATGTATAGCATGTTAAAATAGACAGGCAGAAAGATGAATGTTTTTTTTTTTAAATCCCCCCCTAAAGTCATTCTGTCCATTTGCTATTTTACATCTATTTTTATAATATTGGATTATTTTGAATGTGTAAAATAAGTCAAATTAATTAAAAAAATGAGATTTAAAATGTCGTGGAGGGAAATGAACATGTTTGAATAACTGAAGGTGCTGAGATAAAGTCATAGAAATCCAGTGTTTTTTCTTGTGTTTTGTGTTTGTGATGATAGTGATGACACTCATGTAATGCTGATGATTATCGAGATCCTACAGAGACTTTAAGAGTGTCCATCTCAGTCATCACACACACACACACACACACACACACACACACACACACACACACACACACACACATAGAGAGAGAGAAAGGGAGAGGGAGAATATGATATCAGTGAATGTTTTATTAAAGACTGAAGACACTGCAGAATCTCAGCTGGTGTGTGTAGAATATGTTACAGCGCGCATGTCATCAACGTCAGTCAAATTTACACTTTCAGTTTCCAAAACATCAAGGCATTGGTGAGACACGGAGAACAGATCAGGTAAGATTTCAGTTTACCCAACTGTACTACCCAGCCGTTAATCCAGTTTATTATTTTTCAGTAGCTGCTTGGAATTAGAATATTAAGAAGGCAATAACTTGTGTAAAACACATATTTATTAAAAATAAAATGCATAATATTTAGCAATTAATATTCTGTAATTATTTAAATAAACGCCTGGTCTGTATCTGTTTCGCTGTCTTTCGTGAGGTTTAAAAAAACAACATTCTGAAAAGTAGATGTGACCCATAGAGGACGATTATTGCATTATGTAATGACGGTTAAACGTTAGCTACTCAAATTAATGAAAAAAACCTTCATCATGGGCTGCTTGTCATTATTTCACACTGTATCCAGTACTGGTGTGTTACCATGTTTATTACCGATAATGTGATGATGTCATAATGCATTATTTCTGCCAGTAAATCCGCTTGTGTTTTCATCAGCCACGCCCTCACTAAAAGCACATCATCTACAGACACATCAATCAGACATGCAGACATTACATCTTATTGGGTCACAGTCAAATAAACTTACAAATAATAATCAGGGGCGCGGGAAGTAGAGGTGTTGGGGGGCTGCAGCATTCATTGTATATGCAATGCAAATTTTTGTTTATTTACATTTATTAATTTTTAGAATTTACCATATTGTTTGAATGTAAGATAGTGTTTTTTTTTCTTGGAAATACATCTGAAAAAATGGGGTCGTCTTATATTCAGGGTCTAAACTTTTACATGTCAATAATACAGCTGGAACAATGGGGAGCACCGAATACAAGTAACACGAGTGTTTCCCCCCGGACTGATAAACGCAGCGGGGTCATCAAAACTACTCTCTCATTAAGCAGCCAAGAAAAACGGTGTGTCAGAGTGTAATGTTAGAAGATGGCAAGTCCTAAAAGTGAGCCAAAAAAGCCCAAAAAAAGTGAGCAGTCATCTAGCTGAAGGCACTGGAAATCGCCAGAGCTGAACTCACCCACCAGCGAGGCCCTCGTTTCTGATCTCGGCTACACACTGACGCTTTTGCCTGTCCATTTCAATGAAAGGTGTGTTTTGATGCGGCGTAAGGGTGTGTGTCCACTGGTGCGGAGCAGAGCAAGCATTTTCAGTTAATTCCTATGGAAGTTGAGCTTCACGTTTACGCGATGCATTGTGAGATTGACGTGTCCACTACAGCGGCAAAATACAGTTTTTCTGACTTGTTAAAACACTAAACCCCATTCCCTGAACCAAATACTCAATAGCCTAAACCAATTTGTCAAATAAATTGCCGTGGAGCCGGAGGGACCCGGGCTGTGGAGCTGGGCAGTGGGGACCTGGGCCGTGGAGCCGGGGGGAGCTGAGCCGTGGAGCCGGGGGGAGCTGGGCCGTGCTGGGGGGAGCTGGGCCGTGCTGGGGGAGCTGGGCCGTGGAGCCGGGGGGACCTGGGCCGTGGAGCCGGGGGGACCTAGCCGGGGGGACCTGGGCCGTGGAGCCGGGGGGAGCTGGGCCGTGCTGGGGGGACCTGGGCCGTGGAGCCGGGGGGAGCTGGGCCGTGGAGCCGGGGGGAGCTGGGCCGTGCTGGGGGGACCTGGGCCGTGGAGCCGGGGGGACCTGGGCCGTGGAGCCGGGGGGAGCTGGGCCGTGGAAATGGGGGAACCTGGGCCGTGGAGCTGGGCCGTGGAGCCGGGGGAACCTGGGCCGTGGAGCTGGGCCGTGGAGCCGGGGGGGCCGTGGAGCCGGGGGGAGCTGGGCCGTGCTGGGGGGACCTGGGCCGTGGAGCCGGGGGGAGCTGGGCCGTGGAGCCGGGGGGAGCTGGGCCGTGGAGCCGGGGGGACCTGGGCCGTGGAGCCGGGGGAACCTGGGCCGTGGAGCCGGGGGGAGCTGGGCCGAGCTGGGCCGTGGAGCCGGGGGAACCTGGGCCGTGGAGCTGGGGGGAGCTGGGCCGAGCTGGGCCGTGGAGCCGGGGGGAGCTGGGCCGTGGAGCTGGGGGGACCTGGGCCGTGGAGCCGGGGGGACCTGGGCCGTGGAGCCGGGGGGACCTGGGCCGTGGAGCCGGGGGGAGCTGGGCCGTGGAGCCGGGAGGACCTGGGCCGTGAAGCCGGGGGGAGCTGGGCCGTGGAGCTGGGGGGACCTGGGCCGTGGAGCCGGGGGGAGCTGGGGGGACCTGGGCCGTGGAGCCGGGGGGAGCTGGGGGGACCTGGGCCGTGGAGCCGGGAGGAGCTGGGCCGTGGAGCCGGGAGGACCTGGGCCGTGGAGCCGGGGGGAGCTGGGCCGTGGAGCTGGGGGGACCTGGGCCGTGGAGCTGGGGGGACCTGGGCCGTGGAGCCGGGGGGAGCTGGGGGGACCTGGGCCGTGGAGCCGGGGGGAGCTGGGGGGACCTGGGCCGTGGAGCCGGGAGGACCTGGGCCGTGGAGCCGGGGGGAGCTGGGCCGTGGAGCTGGGGGGACCTGGGCCGTGGGCCGTGGAGCTGGGGGGACTTGGGCCGTGGAGCCGGGGGGAGCTGGGGGGAACTGGGCCGTGGAGCCGGGGGGAGCTGGGCCGTGGAGCCGGGAGGACCTGGGCCGTGGAGCCGGGGGGAGCTGGGCCGTGGAGCTGGGGGGACCTGGGCCGTGGAGCTGGGGGGACCTGGGCCGTGGAGCCGGGGGGAGCTTGGGGGACCTGGGCCGTGGAGCCGGGGGGAGCTGGGCCGTGGAGCTGGGGGGACCTGGGCCGTGGAGCCGGGGGGAGCTGGGCCGTGGAGCCGGGGGGAGCTGGGCCGTGGAGCCGGGGGGACCTGGGCCGTGGAGCCGGGGGGACCTGGGCCGTGGAGCCGGGGGAACCTGGGCCGTGGAGCCGGGGGGAGCTGGGCCGAGCTGGGCCGTGGAGCCGGGGGAACCTGGGCCGTGGAGCTGGGGGGAGCTGGGCCGAGGAGCCGGGGGAACCTGGGCCGTGGAGCTGGGGGGAGCTGGGCCGTGGAGCTGGGGGGACCTGGGCCGTGGAGCCGGGGGGACCTGGGCCGTGGAGCCGGGGGGACCTGGGCCGTGGAGCCGGGGGGAGCTGGGCCGTGGAGCCGGGAGGACCTGGGCCGTGAAGCCGGGGGGAGCTGGGCCGTGGAGCTGGGGGGACCTGGGCCGTGGAGCCGGGGGGAGCTGGGGGGACCTGGGCCGTGGAGCCGGGGGGAGCTGGGGGGACCGTGGAGCCGGGAGGACCTGGGCCGTGGAGCCGGGGGAGCTGGGCCGTGGAGCTGGGGGGACCTGGGCCGTGGAGCTGGGGGGACCTGGGCCGTGGAGCCGGGGGGAGCTGGGGGGACCTGGGCCGTGGAGCCGGGGGGAGCTGGGGGGACCTGGGCCGTGGAGCCGGGGGGAGCTGGGGGGACCTGGGCCGTGGAGCCGGGGGGAGCTGGGCCGTGGAGCTGGGGGGACCTGGGCCGTGGAGCCGGGGGGAGCTGGGGGGACCTGGGCCGTGGAGCCGGGGGGAGCTGGGGGGACCTGGGCCGTGGAGCCGGGGGGAGCTGGGCCGTGGAGCCGGGAGGACCTGGGCCGTGGAGCCGGGGGGAGCTGGGCCGTGGAGCTGGGGGGACCTGGGCCGTGGGCCGTGGAGCTGGGGGGACTTGGGCCGTGGACCTGGGCCGTGGGCCGTGGAGCTGGGGGGACTTGGGCCGTGGACCTGGGCCGTGGAGCTGGGCCGTGGAGCCGGGGGGAGCTGGGCGTGGAGCTGGGCAGTGGAGCCGGGCCGTGGAGCCGGGGGGACCTGGGCCGGGGACCTGGGCCGTGGAGAAGAAGAATATTAAGAAGAACGCCAACGATTTCAAGAGGTGCCTACGCACCTTTGGTGCTTGACCCCTAATAAAGAGAAATAAAAAAACACATATAAGGGATCTGAGGTCTTTAATTATTAATATTTATGTATTTTCATTTTTCTTTTGTGTTTGATCCAAGGTTTTACAGCCTTATATTTTTTGCAAGTTCATGTTGAATACGTGAGGTTTTTCCAGCTGAGGCTCATTTGCGGGGCTATAACAACTACAGCGCTCATGATTGCGGCGCGAGAGCTACGATAACTGCGCCTGACTGAGTGGCTGATATTCTGTTGCTTTCGTTTGTAATATTTATTTGGTTGCATGCGTTTTAGACCTGAAGCGTACACCCCTCTTTCATGCACGCCTTCACTACTGACTTCCATTAATACTGGTTACTGATTGTTTCAATATATTTTGTAGAAGTGAAAGTAAAGTATAATGCTGGAGCCTAAACAGTGAAAATGGCTTCACTAAATGTGTCTGCTGAAGACCTTTCTTGTCCTGTGTGCTGTGAAATCTTCAAGGCTCCTGTTCTTTTATCATGTAGTCACAGTTTCTGTAAGGAGTGTCTTCAAAAGTTCTGGAGAATCCAGAAAACTCAGGAGTGTCCTGTCTGCAGGAGAAGATCCTCAAGAGATGAACCTCCATTTAACCGTGTGCTAAAAAACTTGTGTGAGTCGTTCCTGAAGGAGAGAAATGAGACTCGTTCATCAGGATCTGAGGAGATCTGCAGTTTACACAGTGAGAAACTCAAACTCTTCTGCCTGGAGGACAAACAGCCTGTGTGTTTAGTGTGTATTACTTCACAACAACATGACAATCACAAATTCAGACCCATCAGTGAAGTGGTTTCATCATATAAGGTAAGACAAATGTCGTTTCGTATAACAATAAATAGTCATAAATAGTCAACAATAAATAAACAGATGTCATCACATTCATGCATTCAATATATTTTTCTCTGCCATTTCACTCAACTTCACATGACATTTACTGTGCTGTGAAAAGGTATTTTCCCCATTTCTTCAGTTTTTTTTGTTTTGTTTTTTGTCTCATACTAAATAGTTTTAGATCTTCAAACTAAATACAACATAAAACAAAGGCAAGAGCCTTCACAGATGGATGTAGTTTGAATGACCTTCTTCCTCATTATTTCTGGAGTTTCCACACTACCTTTGTTATAGTGTGTTACGGTTTAAGACGTTTTAAGCAACTTCATGCTGTTGAAAAAGTCCTATTTAAGTGTTGATATGATTGAACGGGACTGGAGGACTGGCCAGGTACGGCTGAGTGTCCGCCCCCACTTAACACCTGAAACCAAAAACTAAACACTCATTGGGACCTAACAACATGCATAAATAGATGTGGAAAAACAAAATTATTCAAAGCTCTGTTTTACATAAAAACTGGAAGGAGTCTTTAATACACATATTTTAGAAGTTTTATTGAACGTACATTTTTTTTTTTTAATTCTGTATAAGAGTAAGTGCAAATATATTTTTAAATTTAGCAAACAAGACTAGTACCGGCTAAGTGTTGGCGTGATTGTGGCCCAGTGTCGTCTCAGTTTCAGTACCCAGTCTCGGGCCAGTACCGATTAAGTGTTTCAATTCTTGTCGGCGTGATTGTGGCCCAATGCCGGTTTTGGCAGCCGGACTCGGGCCAGTGTATTTGGGCCGATTCATGGGTGTCATTAATCCAGCATCCATCAGAGTCTGGCAACCGCAACCGGGCCGAGTTATTACTTACGAGCTGCCGGATCTGGGCCATTATCGGGCAGAACCGTTTTGGCTACCTGGGTGGTTGTTTAGTCCAGCTGAACCACTATATAATTATAAATGCAGTTTCAATAAATAACATTGTCATTTACCAACTGTACTTTGTGTTTACTCAGGATGCCTTTGTTTTAGAGTAGGTTTTAAAGTAACAACAGGTCGTTTTTTGCTCTCGGGCTCCCCCTACAGTTGGGAAACAGTATTGTCCTCTACTACTGTCGTAAACTGTCATCCTACGTGCATTTGTTGACAACCATGATAGCCCTGAACACTGTAGGAGGAGGTCACATGCAGGTGTTCTGCTTGCGTCACGTGTGAAATGTCTTCATCCCAGGTACAGTGGCATATATTTCAGCATGTCATATGAATATAATTTCATGGGTTTTATTTTTTTTCTAACGACAAATGATCGCGATGATCACGTTTACAAGCCAGCGTCATTATAGTAGCCTAGTCTATTGGTTACCGTTTTACTGAATCTATATGATACTTCAATGCAATGTTTGAGTGGTTGATAATAACCATATATCGTCAATATTATAATATCAAGCTACCATAAATGAATCTGCAAATTTTACAAATCGATTTGCATTATAGCTTGAGGCAAGACAAATAAACAAATATCACAGACATGTTAGGTATCCTAAAATATGATTTTATTAATAATCTTCCTCCTTTCTTTGTACATGTTGAGTAGACTACACTTTTTAGGTCAAACATTTGCTATTGGCATTTCATCGATTGCAAAGTTCAAATCAGAACGAGAATACTAGCGATAGCTAACCATCAAAAACTAGAATATCGTTTACTAGCTACCAGATTGATAATTCGCTACTACTCTAGCGAATTAGAGAGGTTAGAGAGAGGCATTCTTTTTTCGATGGGGGGTTCGATGCTCCCTGCACACGCAAGGTCTCTCGCTCGCTTTCTCTCTCTGCCGTCCGCGCGCGTTGGAGCACAGTCTCTGTCTCGCGTGCGCGCTCGCTCTAGATTCCGGGAGATTTGAACTAATTTGCGGTATAACTTGTCGATCACGAGTGGCTCAACAGGTAGAGATCTATAGATAAACTCATCTTTCAGGCATTTGACCGACCGGGTTGACAATTTAGCGTGAGAAACCGGGGGTGTGGCGTGTGAGCGTGTGAAACCAATTAAATGCGGGTGTCTCACGGCCAATGCGTGAGTTGGCAGCTCTGCAATGTTGATCCTCGTTCTGCCTTTAACGCGATCACTTTCTCTTTTTCTCTTTTTGCTTTGCTCCGATAAAACCTTTGCTTTCTTGTTTTTCTGTGCTGCTTCGGCCTTGACTGTAACATTTGGCTCGCAAGTCCGATTTTAAGGAAGTGGGGGTGGTGGTGGAAGTGACGTATAAGCCGTAAAGCAGTCGAATTTTGTAGTTCTCTTTGTTCGCCGGTTACTACCCGAAACCCGAAGTTTAAAAGTACGATTAAAAACGCTACAGACCCCGTCAGGCTATGGCAGACGTGTCATTCAACCTATTGTAAGTCGATGTACCATCACAAGAGACTTGGAAATATATTATGAAGGCTGAAAAGTTACCTGGTGTTACTTTAATTTCAGAATCATTTTAGTATGAGATGTACACAAAAACAAAAGAAATCACGATGGGGACAAATATTTTTTCACTGCCCTATATGACCAAATCACTGTATTGTCTTATCTTCTGCTCTTCACTGTAATCTGGTGTTTTATGTATTTTTGTTCAATTCTAGGAGGAACTCAATACAGCACTGAAGTTCTTACAAGAGAAACTTCAACATAATGAAGAAATGAAAGCAGAGTTTGAGAAAACAGTTCAACACATCAAGGTGAGGAACCAGAAACGAGAGCCAATTTCATTACAGCTGTTGGATCACTGTATACAGTTATGATTTCATATAATTGTAACACTGTTAAAGTTGTCAATAGAACACCATAAGTGTTCTATTACTCTGAATATATATATTACTAGGTTCGACTCTAGGAGGATAGAAATAAAGTTTAGGCCAAATAGTGCAAGTCAGCTAACAGCCAGCACATTTATTGTACATGAAACAAATTAATGAACGAATGCTTCAATTTCAAAATATATTGAGGTCTCGTCACAACACTATCTGAAATGGAGAAAAGCAATCTTTAACCCAGGTTGTACACAAAAGATCCAAGAATACAAGAGGAAAAAAATTAAAATAAAGAAAAATAAAATGTCCAAAAGTCCTCCTGGTTAGTATGGAATACCAAAGCTGACTTAATTAAAAATAAATAAATACATAAATAAATATACGAATAAATGTAAAAAAGCAAAAATACATAAATACATAAATAAATATACAAAGAAATGTAAAAAAGTACAAATAAATGAGTATTTATACTTTTATTTCCTTATTTATGTATAATTGTATTTTTTCACACATTTATTAATTTTTTTATTTATACATTTATTCATTTATTTATTTCCACTTTTATTTATTTCCACATTCATTTATGTATTTATGTTTTTATGTCTACATTTATTTATTTTCACATTTATTTATTTATACATTTATTTATTTCCACATTTATTTTTTTCCACATTTCTTTGTCCGTATGCTAATGAGGGGGGCGTGTTTTACCTCAGACATCAGCAATCGAGCTCAGAGTGGCAGTGCTGAAGTTTTGAGGCCACAGTGACACCTTGTGGTGTGTGACCAAACGAAACGCAAGAGGTGTGCGGACAATATCACATTTTAAGTAGGGCTGTCAAATGATTAATCGTGATTAATCACATCCAAAATAAAAGTTTTTTTTACATAATATATGTGGGTGCACTGTGTATAATTATTTTATATATATAAATACACACACATGCTTGTATATATTTAAGAAATATTTTCATGTATATACTGTATATAGATTTATATATAATTTATATTATATATAAATATAAATATTTTATATATAAATAATATTTTTTTCTTAAATATACATGCATGTGTGTGTATTTATATATATACAATAATTATACACAGTGCACCCACATATATTATGTAAAAAAAACTTTTATTTTGGATGTGATTAATCACGATTAATCATTTGACAGCCCTAATTTTAAGTCATGTATATCACCCTAACTGTATGTAGGGTTGGCTATATAGGGTTAACACACATAGCACACATGAACAGAAACTGCGTCATATCATTAATTCAGACCGATTCATTCAATACTGATTCATTCAGTTCGGGGGAAAACACCACCTGTTACTGTTAAACTGTACAGCTCAAGGAACAAAATTATGGCGGGGCGATGTGTGTCTGAGCTGAAATGAAATAAATGCTGTAAAAAAAAAGCCCATGTATGAGATAATTTTATTATAATACTACTGGCTACTGGCTGTTTTAGTTTCATATTTAAACATACAATTTAATTGATTCCATCATTTCATATTTCTATATTCATTTATTTTTAACATTAATCTCATAACGACTTTTATGCAATTGTATTTGCAGTGTAAAAGCATTCTCCTCTGTATTAAGATTTTGACTTTTAATGACTTTTGTTAATTTTATTTTACTGATAACAGCCATAGTGCCTTATTATAATTAACTGAGTAGTTTATCGATTAATATTAAGAACTTGACATATGATGATGTATAGCCTACCTATTTAATAAGGTTTGGGTAGATATAACATCAATTTATAGGGGGAATATCAGCACGCCCATGGGCACGACAGGTGCTGTTTGATGGGCATGATGATGCTTCTGTCCTCCACTGCATGGGCTGAGATGCGTGGCTCATAGCTCCGTTTACATGAACCCCTTTTGTTTGAATAATTCCAAATTGATGACTTGTGATTAATCAGTATCTAAGAGCAGCATCTATGAAATATGGGTTGTGTTTTAAGCATTTGAATTGTCACCTGTTATGCATACGAAATTATGAAACGCGAATGTAAACTTGAGTTGCGTTTCAAACTCATTGATCAATATGCTTGCGTAGGAGTCAGTGAAATGTGCGCTGGTTTCTCTCCGCGTTCTGCGCTGGTGTGCGAGTCTCATCATCGACAGTAAACGCAAGCTCTTATCAGCCCTATCCACCGCGTTTACATTGTTATTAATAGTGGATACTTTCATGCGCTTCCATGTCCAAGTGTCTGCTATCAGACCCGTTGAAGTGCAGTTTCTGTTCATGTGTGCTATGTGTGTTAAGCCTATATAGCCTACCCTACATACAGTTAGGGTGATATACATGACTTAAAATGTGTCCGCACACCTCTTGCGTTTCGTTTGGTCACACACCACAAGGTGTCACTGTGGCCTCAAAACTTCAGCACTGCCACTCTGAGCTCGATTGCTGATGTCTGAGGTAAAACACGCCCCCCTCATTAGCATACGGACAAAGAAATGTCGAAATAAATAAATGTGGAAATAAATAAATGTGGAAATAAATAAATGTTTAAATAAATGTGAAAATAAATAAATGTAGTGTGGAAATTGTAGTAAATCGCAAGAGACAACTTCTCACATTGAGCACACGAATGCGTGTGTCGTTTATTATTGAAAACAAAAACACTCAACTCCAAAATGGCGCTGACTAGCGTCTCACGTCATCACGCATACAGAACATTTAAAGGGACCACGATCCCTGAACAACAGTGAGGAACAATGCCAAGAACAAAGGTGAATTATTTATGTCAAAGTCACTACACATGTCCCCCCAGAATTCACCATATCAGGAGAACCAAACAGTCAACGGGGAGGTGGGCGTATCAACCTGCCACAACGGCTGCGCTGCACGGAAGGAGGAGGAGACCGCACTGCAGCCGGCAACCCGCCCTGGCACGGGTGTGGGACATGGAGTGTGGGAGGCTTGGGAGGGAGGGGAGCAAGGGGTGGGGGCAGAGCAGGAGGCCGTCCGCGCCGTGGGACCTGGGCCAGGTCTATGGGCCTGGCCACGTTCAAGTGAGCCGGTTTGAGGCGGTCAATGGAGAGTCGCTCCGGTTTCCCGCCCCTGTCCACCACAAAATGTTTGTCCCCCTTCTCCAGAACCTGAAATGGGCCCTCGTAGGGCGGACGTAGAGGTCCCCTGTGGGCATCGTGGCGAATGAAAACGTACTCAGCCGTCTGAAGTCCAGCGGGTATGTGTGACTGAGGAAGGCCGTGATGGGAAGTTGGGACAGGTGCGAAAAGCCTCGCATTGTCCAGTAGAGTGGACCGCTGAAAAGTAGCAGACCAGGGAACCGTGGTGTTAGGGACAAAATCCCCTGGTACCCGCAGTGGCTGTCCATAAACCAACTCCGCGGATGAGGACTGAAGGTCCTCCTTTGGCGCGGTCCTGATGCCCAGCATCACCCACGGGAGCTTGTCGACCCAGTTGCTGTCTTTGAGGCCAGCGCGCAGGGCAGCCTTCATTGACCTATGAAAACGTTCACAGAGTCCGTTAGCTTGCGGGTGATATGCGGTCGTACGGTGGAGTTTCACTCCGAGGCTCTGTGCGACAGCGGCCCACAGCTCAGAAGTAAACTGTGCGCCTCGGTCAGAGGAAATGTCCGAAGGAGTGCCGAAACGTGCAACCCAGGTGCCAATAAATGCCCGTGTCATTTCGGAAGACGTCACTGACGTCAAAGGCACAGCCTCGGGCCAGCGGGTGGTCCTGTCAACCATGGTGAACAAATATGTGAAACCGTGAGAGGAGGGCAGAGGACCAACCAGGTCCACGTTTACATGGTCAAAACGTCTTTCCGGAACCGAGAAAGACCCTAACGGGGCTTTAGTGTGGCGATGGACTTTGGCCCGTTGGCATTCAACACAGGTGTTAGACCAATCCCTAACATGCTTCTTGAGGCCGTGCCAAACAAACTTCCCTGCCACCAGTCTCTGTGACGCTTTCGTACCCGGGTGGGAGAGACCATGGACGGCATCAAAAACTTGTCGCCTCCATCCCGAGGGAACGACCGGCCGAGGACTACCTGTGGAGATGTCACACAGGAGCTTGGTGCCGGCATCGCCAAAAACCACGTCCTCGAGCTGCAACCCTGTAGCCGAGGTCCTCAGGAGTTGCACATCTGGGTCTGTGGCCTGAGTCGCTGCCATGCCATGGTCGTAATCCAAACCCAGGTGGACTGCCCCAGCCACAGCCCGTGATAGGCAGTCCGCCACTCGGTTGGTCTTACCGGCGACGTGCTGCAAGTCCGTGGTGAACTCAGAAATGTAGGACAGATGACGTTGCTGGCGGGCGGACCACGGTTCAGCCACCTTGGCCATGGCAAAAGTCAACGGCTTGTGGTCCACAAAAGCGGTGAAATGTCGGCCCTCCAGCAGGGAACGAAAGTGTCGGATAGCGAGGTAGAGACCCAGCAACTCCCGGTCGAATGTGCTGTACTTCCGCTCACAGGGGCGCAGCTGACGGCTAAAGAAAGCCAGCGGCTGCCAGGCCCCGTCTACCCACTGCATATATACAGCACCAACAGCATAGTCCGAGGCATCCGAGGAGATGGAGATGGGGGCTGTTGGAGAAGGATGTGCCAACATGGCGGCGTTAGCTGTGGCAGCAAAAGCCCTGTCTCTACTCTCATTCCAGGATACAGCGTGCTTGGGTTTACCCTTCAAGGCCTCATGCAAAGGCTGCATGAGCTGAGCGGCTCGAGGGATGAAACGGTGGTAAAAATTTACCATGCCGAGGAACTCCTGCAGGGATTTGACAGTGAGAGGGCGCGGGAACTGTGCGACCGCCTCCACCTTTGACGGGAGGGGGACTGCCCCGTCCTTAGTGACTCTGTGTCCTAGGAAGTCGATGGTGGTCAAGCCGAACTGGCATTTGGCGGGGTTGACAATCAGTCCATGCTGGCTAAGCCGCTCAAAAAGGGTTTGGAGGTGCGCGAGGTGCTGAGACTTGGACGTGCTCGCTACTAGGATGTCATCCAAATACACAAAAAGGAAAGGCAGGTCCCGCAACACAGAGTCCATGAGTCGTTGAAAAGATTGGGCGGCGTTTTTAAGGCCGAATGGCATGCGCAGGAACTCAAACAAACCAAACGGTGTGATCACTGCCGTTTTGGGAATGTCCAGTGGATGTACCGGAACCTGATGATAACCTCTAACAAGGTCCACCTTCGAAAAAATCACTTTGCCAGACAGGTGTGCTGAAAAATCCTGTATGTTCGGGACTGGGTATCGGTCAGGTGCCGTTGCCTCATTAAGCCGCCGGTAGTCGCCACACGGACGCCAGCCGCCACCAGGTTTGGGGACGATATGAAGAGGCGATGCCCATGGGCTGTCGGATCTGCGGTCTATTCCCAGGCGCTCCATGTTCGCAAACTCAGCCTTTGCAACGGCAAGTTTGGTCGGGTCGAGGCGCCGAGCACGGGCATACACGGGCGGACCAGTAGTGGCGAGATGATGCTCCACACCATGCTTCACGGCAGATGCAGAGAAAGTGGGCTGAGTGAGAGCTGGGAACCTGGCAAGCAGACGGTGGAAATCATCAGAAACTGAAAGCATGCTAGACAGTCGCATGGAGTCGGGCCCGCTGAGCGTGCATGTATAAGAGCAAAACGTGACGGCGTCAATCAGGCGGCGGTTCTTTACATCTACCAACAGTCCATGTGCACACAAAAAATCAGCACCGAGGAGGGGAACGGCCACCTTTGCTGTAACAAAGTTCCAGCCGAAACGCTGTCCTCCGAAACACAATTCGACGTACCTTTGTCCATAAGTGCGGATGGGGCTTCCATTGGCAGCTTCCATAGGGGGGCTGTGGCTGTCAGTCACCATGTCCAAATGGGATGCAGGCAGGACGCTCCTCTGTGCTCCTGTGTCGCACTGAAAACGCCGTCCGGAGATGCTGTCATGGATGAAAAGCAGCCTGCCTACGCGGCCGACACTCATGGCCACTACTGAGCGCCGGCCCCTTCGTTTCCCGACCCGCCGAAACTGCATGGTAGGCGACATTAGTTAGCCTTAGTTCCAAACTTCGCATGGTAAAAACACAAGCCTGAAGGTTGTTGGGGGCCAGAAGACTGCTGCCACCGAGAAGTGGTAGCCGCGATAAAGGTGGAGTCGTCCCGTGTCGCCGAAGCGATGTGCGCGGGAAAAAGCGCGGCCGCGCAATGTCCCTGACTCGCCAGGAAAAACTTATCAGCCTCCTCGGCCAGTCTCCGACAGTCAGTGATTGTGGTGTTGGCTAATGCAGCTCTCACTTGTGAAGGCAGCTGACGCAGGAAAAGCTGTATAAAAAGAAAATCGGGTCTGTGCTCACCCAAAAGATCCAGCATATGATCCATGAGCTCGGACGGTTTGCTGTCACCCAATCCTTGAAGGGAGAAAAGCCTACCGGCTCTCTCAGCGTCCGTCAGTCCGAACGTTTTTAACAGGTGGGCTTTGAGTGCTGCATACTTCTCAGTTTCCGGAGGGTTTGTAAGAAGGCTCACCACTCTCGATGCTGTTGCATTACCGAGAGCCGACACAACGTAGTAATACTTTGTTGTATCCGCGGTGATCTCTCGTAACGCAAACTGCGCTTCAGTCTGGGCAAACCAAGCCGATGCCGACGATTCCCAGAATTCGGGGAGTTTGAGGGTGACAGCGTTCGTGGCCATGGTCGTGTTGGGTCACTGGATACGTCCAGCAGACTAATGTCGGGGTCACCAGTGTGGAAATTGTAGTAAATCGCAAGAGACAACTTCTCACATTGAGCACACGAATGCGTGTGTCGTTTATTATTGAAAACAAAAACACTCAACTCCAAAATGGCGCTGACTAGCGTCTCACGTCATCACGCATACAGAACATTTAAAGGGACCACGATCCCTGAACAACAGTGAGGAACAATGCCAAGAACAAAGGTGAATTATGTATGTCAAAGTCACTACAGTAGACATAAAAACATAAATACATAAATGAATGTGGAAATAAATAAAAGTGGAAATAAATAAATGAATAAATGTATAAATAAAAAAATAAATAAATGTGTGAAAAAATACAATTATACATAAATAAGGAAATAAAAGTATAAATACTCATTTATTTGTACTTTTTTACATTTCTTTGTATATTTATTTATGTATTTATTTATGTATTTTTGCTTTTTTACATTTATTCGTATATTTATTTATGTATTTATTTATTTGTAATTAAGTCAGCTTTGGCATTCCATAGGGTAGTGTGTGTATATCAACAGCTTAGCTGTAATTGAAATGAATCCCACGATGCAAACAGATGGAAACTGGTCCGGGTTGAACGTCAGTAGAACGCAGTAGGCCCTTCACCGAATCATGGTCTGGCTCGCCATAGCTCACAGTTGATCTTTTCACAGAATGGAATCAGGCAACAAAAAAAAACAATCAGAGTTCGCAGAAGTTTCTCAATAAAATCAAAGGGAATTCCTTTTTGAATCCATGAACATACTTCATAAATCTTATGAAAAGTTTAAACTCTTTTTGTCAGAAAATCACGCATTTTAGTACTTCAAAAGCAGCGCTTGATCACCTCGTGCGTATCAGCTATATATCGTCTTCTTCTCTCAATATTTTCTTCTCAGTCCACCCGTTCATATAGCGGCCCCTACAGGGAAACTACGGTACTGCATATAATTAACAAAAATGTAGAACATTGTTAAACTCTAGGGGGTTACATAATGAATTCCAGTTTATTATTTCTGTAAATGACTAGCAGCAATCTGCTTCTGGATCCGTTATAGTATCCGAGTTTATCTCTGATATGAATGATGTGAAGTGTTGATGTGTGTCGATTGAGATGATTGAAGTGAATGTGATGTGATTTCAGGCTCAAGCTGAGCACACAGAGCGTCAGATTAAACAGCAGTTTGAGAAGCTTCATCAGTTTCTCAGAGATGAAGAAGAAGCTACAGTCACTGCACTGAGGGAGGAAGAGGAGCAGAAGAAGCAGAGGATGAAGGAGAAGCTGGAGGAGATGAACACACACATCTCAGCTCTTTCACACACACTCAAAGACATGGAGGAGATGATGAAAGCCAGTGACGTCTGCTTTCTGAAGGTCTGATCTCAGATCATTGCTTGATCATTGGTTGATTGATTGAGTTCTTGATGATAATGGTGTGTTTGTTCTGCAGGAGTTTCCAGTCTCAATGGAAAGGTGAGTGATCTGCTCCTGTCTCTGGTCTCTCTGGTTCTGATCCAAAGCCACTGCAGTTCTGACTCCTGAATGTTCTTCCAGAGTCCAGAGCTCACGGCCGGATCCACAGATGGCTTCTGGAGCTTTGATTCATGTGCCACGATACTTGGGCAACCTGCCGTTCAGAGTCTGGAAGAAGATGCAGGACATCGTCCAAAACAGTGAGTCTGAAGATCTGAGCTGGACATGATGGATGGGGGAGAGATAAACTGATAGCAACTCGAGTCGGAACAGTCTGAAGGTCTGACCGAAGTTTGGTGGTTAGAAGGAGTTACAATTAGAAAACGTAATCTCAGATTAATAATAATTTCTCAAGCCAACATAAATCAAACAAAATAGACACTAAGAATAAACAAATTTAGACCAATACACAGACTATAAGGTTGATCAGAAGCTGCTGAACATCAGACACACACTTACAGTTTTTCATCTACATCATAAATATCAACAGATCTCATTGATTTATTGTTATTTTAACTTTCCCATAGTATCAGTTTCTCTTGATGGGACACAAATGCCTGAATCACACATTTAATGAACTTAGTTGATGCCGTTAAACACTGATGATAAAAATGAATGTGAAACTAATAACAGTACTTACAGTGATCAGAGGAAAATGTCTGATGTGTTTGATCAACAGAACGAGTGTCATAATTCATAATAATCTGTGTTGGGTTCACTGAATAAAAGCATCTGCTGATTGTGTCTCATCAGCTCCTGTGATTCTGGATCCAAACACGGCTCATCCACGTCTCGTCCTGTCTGATGATCTGACCAGTGTGAGATACAGCGGAATCAATCAAACTCTTCCTGATAATCCAGAGAGATTTGACGATTATCTCTGTGTTCTGGGTTCAGAGGGTTTTAACTCAGGAACACACTGCTGGGATGTGGAGCTTAAAGAGAGTTCCTACTGGAATCTTGGGGTAACTACAGCATCAATCCAGAGGAAGGGCCGTGATTTCTGTAACACTGATGTCTGGAGTGTGTGGTATCATCAGTACGGATGGTCTGAACCGGTTGGCTTTCCTGTCCAGCAGAAGCTTGATCATGTGAGAGTGAATCTGGACTATGACAGAGGAACGGTGTCGTTCTCTGATCCTGGAACTAACACACATCTACACACATTCACAGCCACCTTCACTCACACACTCTTTCCATTCTTTTGTAGTTATAGTTCTTGCTCTCTGAGGATCTTAAAGATCAATAGTCAGTAAACGTTACTTCTGTAGGTCTGAATCTTCCTCCTTTCATCGTGTTTCCAATATTTAATCCATCTCATGAGTAAGAGTGCTGTTGATCTGAATATCAGTACGGCTTTAAATGGAAGGTGATGTTCACATGACTGATATCCAGCACTACAGCAAAACTACAATTTTTCATTTTAATTTCACTTCACACAATAAGACCAATTAGAGACAATTTCAAGATTGAAATAATTGGGTAAATGGTAATTAGCCTGAAAACAGTCTAGCGCAGGGATGGGCAACTTCGGTCCTGGAGGGCCACTGTCCTACAAAGTTTAGCTCCAACCCTGAAAAAATCACCTGCCTGTAACTTTCTAGTAATCCTGAAGACCTTGATTAGCTTGTTCAGGTGTGTTTGATTAGGGTTGAAGCTAAACTCTGTAGGGCAATGGCCCTCCAGAACTGAAGTTGCCCATCCCTGGTCTAGTGTGTCTCTAATTTTCACATGTTAATCAAATATATCTTTCTAGTCACTGGACCAGTTAATTTTACACATGCATTACAGTCATATGAATGAAACTTCTCAGAAATGCCTTTAACAATATCCTTAAGCTTTGACTTCAGTGTCAAAAACTCTCAGTAAAAACTTGCACTTGTGTAAGAGTAGGAGCTTTTTATAACGAAGCAAAAAGCGACTTCCAGCAAAGTCTCAGACTGACTCTCAAGAGCCTGCTTTCTGTGGACTGATGGGACTGTAATAGCAATAAGCAAAGCAACCTTGTGAGTCAGAAGCTTCACAAAGGCTGACTTCAAATCTCTTCATAGTCCGATGATCACAATTAAGTTTTCGTGAAATATCTAGTGTTTTAGTCACAGGTCGGGGTGAGCGCCAGCGGGCCGCCCACCCCCAAACCGAAACACCGCTCTAGCTCCTCCCCCTCCACACCTGCCGTTCATTTTCTTAATAATCACCTAATCACCCAGTGACATACTCCCCCACCAGGAGAAAAAAAAACTGGTCGCCCCATGGTCCACGGTTGCTCAACTCGGGGCGGATCCTGCCGACTACGCCACTTTATGTCACAGGTCAGGGTGAGCGCCAGCGCCAACACCGCTCTAGCTCCTCCCCCTCCACACCTGCTGCTCATTTTCTTAATAATCACCTAATCACCCGGTGACATCCTCCCCCACCAGTCCGTTCCAGTCCCTGTTCCAGTGGAGAAAAAAACTGGTCGCCCCATGGTCCACGGTTGCTCAACTCGGGGCGGATCCTGGCGACTACGCCACTTTATGTCACAGGTCAGGGTGAGCGTCAGCGCCAACACCGCTCTAGCTCCTCCCCCTCCACACCTGCTGCTCATTTTCTTAATAATCACCTAATCACCCGGTGACATTTTCATACCTTGTCCAAGGCATGGCACTATTTGACGCTTTTCCATAGCAGATAAATCCTTTTTCTTTCCCATATTGCTTGAAACCTGTGGTCTGCTTAATAATGGGGAACATCCTTCTTAAGTAGTTTTCCTTTAATTGGGCTCACCTGGCAAACTACTTATCACAGGTGTCTGAGATTGATTTCAGTGATCCAAAGAGCCCAGAGACACAATACCAATATACCAATAAACAAGAGACAATTGTTTGTCTTGTGCTGGTCTGCGACGCGCCAGGGATTACGTCATCATGTTGGAAATGTCACAATTATTATTTTTTTGAATAATAATAATAAATTAAAACAAAGGTGTCAGACGATTTTGAAGTTGGAGGAGAAAACGGGAGAAAATGAGATGGAATTTTTCGCCCTTCCCTGCCTTTTTTAACCGAAGTACACAGACAAATAACTTAGATGACGTGACGCGTGACGTTTCCAATGTGATGACGTAATCCCTGGCGCGTCGCAGACCAGCACAAGACGAACAATTGTGGTTAAAAAGTGTATAAATGTTTATTTTTTTAGAAAATGAATGATGGTTTCGCTAGACCCTATTCCTCAGCTGGGATCGAGCAGAGCCGTGTGAAGCTCTTCAAAGCCCTTTGAAACTGCATTGATTTGGACTTCAAAACGTTGGTTGCAATTGAAGTCCATTGTGTGGAGAAAAATCCTGAAATGTGTAGAGACTTTAAGGATGAACCAAACACGAATTAATCTTTCTAATCTCTCATGGGATTCATTCAAATGTGATTCAGCATTTCGGATCTGAATACCACATTCCAAAGTCACAAGACTGGCTCAAAATTGTCTAGAAAACCCCCCAGAGAAGTCTTTTATGGCCCCGCAGGCATCAGAGATAAGCCTAAACAGGAAGAACGTTGTCACTGTTTCATCCTTAAGCAAGACAAAGCTGCTCAGAAATGGTGAGACGAGGCCTGACCACCAAGGGGCCTGACCACCTTTGACCTCCCTCAGCATCACCACTGCTGAGCAGGACAGCGATGTAAGACAGACCACGCTTCCATGGAACGTGAGAGACTTACACAGACTTTACATATCAAACCCATTAAAACTCACGCAGAACAATGCTCCGTGGACTTAATCAAACATCATAATTCTTGTTGTTCCTACAATTCATGTTTGTATTATGCGTAGATCACATATAAATCATGTAATTGTGATATAACTGTGTGTATGGATGAAAGGGTATCGTGTTTCCAATCAAAAGAATCGTATGCCCTTAATTCAAAAGGTGGCTTGTTTGAAATCTGTGTAAAATGTTTTGTATGATTATAATAATCTATAATGTTTAAACTGGGGTCTCTTGTTCTCTGCTAAGTGCTGGAACCCAAGCAGATCCCAGATAACGATAAGTAGGAACGATCCACCTCCTAAAATGATGCCATTGTCTCATTGGTCAGAATTCTCTAAAAGAGGTTGGACTAACGTTTAAGTTAAAGACCCGAACAAAGGAGTTAGAGTATGTTGAAAAAGAAATTCGGTTCAGAGAGCAGTTCGGGGTTGCCGTTCGGTTTTGAGTTCGGTTCGGTGTTGAATTAAGTTTTGCGCCTCTCTCTAGCAACGGCAAGAGAGTGTTCCTGTTCGTGCTTCTCTCTGAAAACACCAAAGAGCGTGTTCGCACGCTTCTACATCGACCAGACCAAATTAGACCAGCAGACAAATAACCCATCAAGATCGGGGTTGAAACAGCTCATTCAAGCCATCTAACTCGTCTTACTTTCATTTCTTCCTTTATTTTCTTTTTTCGTAAAAGTCTCGATTCAAAGTTAAGTTGCTGCGAAGTTCGTTTAAACGTCTCTCCTGCAACGCGCTTCGAACTGTAAAGACTCTTATTCGCCTGCCAATCACACGTGACCGGCTGTTCAGAAACTTCCATCCAGGCACTTCAAAGACAACCAGCCACACGGACCCGGTCGGGAAACCCCTTCGACGAAGCACCGCAAAAAGGGAATTCCCTAAGCAACGCAAAGACAAGCAAGTAGCAGCTACTCCAGACTCTTAACTGAACTGGTGCTTTAAATGTAAATTGAATAACCTGTCTAAGAAACGAAGGTTTAAATTAATGCTTGGTGGTTCGTTCAGGTCATGTCTTACCAAGTGCATCTCACTCTGAAAACTCACTCTTTCTCTCTCCTCCTCTGCGCCTTGTATGAATGTGTGTGTGTGATTGTGTTTAGACCTTAGTAATGTGTTTAGAATAGTTAATAAAGTCGTCAATATATTTGAAAAGATATTTGCCTTGTGTTGTGCTTGCACATTTAATGTCTTGTACTGTCGATCTAAAGTTACCTTGCTAATACAGTGTTTCACTATAGATTGGATATTCATATCTGTTGCCAAGGTTATAATTACGGCCCGTTCAAATGAACTCTAAACGAGTCATTTGCTCGGTTCCATAGTGATTCGGTCAAGATTCATTGCAAATCGATGAATCATTCCTTTTGAGCTAAATTGGCCTTCCGGCCCCCCTTAAATACATTTTATGTATATTATTATTGTGTGATTCGTTACAAATGTTTTCCTCAAAAACTTAATTTCTTTTCCACTGAAGAAAGAAAGACATGAACATGGCATTGGGGTGAGTAAATTATCAGGAAATTTTCATTTTGAGGTGAACTAATCCTTTAATTCCAATTTGCATAATAATTTGGAGCGTGGTATATATTAACCTAGCAAGTGTTATGCTTAACATTTGAATAAAATAAATGAACTTTAAGAAGAGATTTAAGATGATTTTTAAGAACATTCTTTTCAAGAATATGAATACTTTTTAAACTAAAATTTTATCTTAAGAACAATCTTATGAAAAATAGATAAGAACATTCTTAAGAAAGTTTTTTGGCAAATTAAAAAATATTCTTATCTCTTTTTCTTAAGTTAGAAAATAAGAAATTGGCAGTTAAGAAGAATTTTGTTCTTAAGAATGTTTTGTGAATCCGGCTCCAGGAAGTATCGACTGTACAACCCAGAGTCCCTTTCTGCTAGGGGAACACGTTCTGTAGACTCTTTGACCAGAAGAGACCATTGAAGCACACCATTGAAACATGGAGGACAATACTAGAACTGAATCCCGCAACCACTCAGGGGTGCGTTTCCCAAAGCCAACTATGGTCGCAAGTTCCGTCGTTACCAATAGAGTTCAATGGAAATTGCGATCATAGTTGGATAACGATGCTTTCGGGAAACGCACTCCTGTACTATTTGAGAGACACTGGGCAAAAGTTTCAATGCTGCCAACTTGTCTGAAAGAGGAGTTCATTTTACATTTATGTTAAAAGTGAGAAAGGGAACTACCTCGGTGTCCTGAAACAGCTCACTGGCAGGAAGCAACCAAGATGAATGAATGTCTTTATGAGCAGAGATGGGGCAGAAACCCCGCCAGGAACCGCCACTCCCTGAAACACCAGAGGTGGTGGGGATGGCTGAACGATTGCTGGCAGGGAATGAGGGGGCATCTGACTTCAGGACTTCTTTTTCTCTGCACGCTTGGGTGCTAAGACAGTCCCGAGATCAGGTCTTCATCGAGCCCACGATCCTTACGATGGGGGCCTTCTGCTCCTCTCTCCTGGAGCTGGACGCA